ACACGTGAGGACCCTCCAGTCTAAGGTTTGTGTGATGCTATAGCATCATTAGTTCAGCTTTGGGGAACAGCCTGGTCAGGACTTACCGTGGGTGCTCACTCTGTCTTCCCGAACACTTTCCTTTGGTGCCAGAACCCCTCACTCTCCTGGGTCCTCCTGGCTCACCAGCCGCTCGGCTACTGCTTCCTCTTCATCTCCTCAACCCCTTAGCCTTGGGGTCCCCAGGCTCATGCCAGGTTCTCCTCCCCCGCATCTACATGGTCCCCTGATGATCCCATAAATACCACCCCCATCTGAGCGGCTCTCACGTTGGCATCTCTGCCCCAAATGGACCTGACTGCCTACTCGATACCTCCTCTCGGACTTCTAAGAGGCATCGCACATGTTGCATCTCCCACGTCCCAGACCGAACCCCTGACCCTCCCCACCCTCCACTGGCCCCTTCTGTGGGCTTCCCTGTCTCAGCCAGTGCAACTCCAGTTTTCCAGTTACTCAGGCCAAACACCTGGGAGTCGGGCTGCCTCCTCTCCCGTCTCGTACTCTGTTTTGAATCTATCAGCAAATCCCGTTGGCCTTACCTTCTGTATATCTCTAGAGCAGGGACACTAGCTCCTCCACTGCTACCTCCCCGGTCCAAGCCACCATCCATTCAAAAGCCAGTAGATCCCTTCTGCTACCTCTTTGCTCTCAACCTTCCAGTGGCTCCCACCTGACTCACCGAGATGGCTTAAGGGTGACCATGGTGAGCTCCAAGGCCCACGCGTTGTGGGCCCGGCTGCCTCTCTGATGCATCTCCTTTCTCTCCCCTCCTGACTCTGCTCCAGCCACACTGACTTCCTTGCTGTTTCTCCAACAGAGCCAGGATGCTCTTGCCTCAGGGCCTCTGTCCTTGCTGTTCCCTCTGCCTGGGACACTCTTCCCCCTGAGATCCACACGGGTCATGCCCTGTCTTCCTTTATCCTTTGCTCAAATGTCATGCTGTTGGTCAGGCCTCCCCGTATAGCCTTGGCACTTACCACATCTGACACCTTATCTATTTCCTATTCTTTCCCACCAAAGAGTCGGCTCCGTGAGGGCAGGCACTGTCTATCTCGCTCACTCTCATAACCCCAGGACCTAAAACACTGCTTGACCCATAGTTCACACTCATTAGATATTTGGTGGATGGATAGCTGAGTGGATGAAATGGCCTGAGTTAGACCAGAGAGTGCAGCTCTGCAGCAGAACGTTCATCCCTTTCTCTGATTTGTAAAATGGGAGAATTGGCAATGACGTAAATCCTGTGGGGCTAGGCAGTCTGCCCTTGGACCCCCGCACCTGCCCCTGCCTCAGGTCGCATCTTGGCTCGGCCAAGCGCGGGCTGGGTCCTCCCTTTCCAGCACGCCCTCCCCTGTCCCCACCTCCGGCCAGGCTCTGGCCGGCCCCAGCCCTACCCTGGATGTGGGTCACGTGCTGGGGATGGGGGTGGTGCCGGGAGAAGAAGGAGTGATGGCTGAGGTGGCCGAAGCGGTGGGCACCGGGCGTTTGGGGCTTGGAGGTCCTCAGTTCCTCTCGGATCAGCCTGAAATCCACAATCCCTGGGATCCTCAGTTCTTTCTGTGGCCCGCCGTCCGCGTGGCTCCTTGGCCAGCACCCTGACTTCTCGGGTTTTGGCTCAGTCCTTGGCCTGAAGGAGAGGGTCAGGGAGAAGCAAATGGAGCCCCCCGGCAGCGGTGCCCACCTGAGCTTATTAGAATCCATTCCTGAGATGCTCTGAAGTCTGGTTTCCGGGATTTCACCACCACCCCCGTGACACCGAAGCTGAGCCTCCCCCAGGCTCCTTTCCCAGCCATGCCATCTGGCCCCAGGGACCCTTCTGTCTTCCTAAGATGCCTGAGCAGGGAGCCAGGACCCCAGTTTTCTCTCAGAAACCATTTCTAAAGCCAGAAAGAGAAGCCATAGACCCACCTACTCATCCAAATACCTGGACTGGAGCAAAGGTACATTATATACACCTCCAGGGCCAGGGGGCTGACCCTAGCATGGGCCTCTCCCCAAGCCAAACTGCTGGCAGCCCAAGAGAAGCCAGCTATAGGCTGTCACCCTCCCCCCTTGCCCTCGGGGGCAGTTTTGGCCCAGACTCAGCGTCCAGGGGCCAAAGCTGGCGCCAAGGCCAGACTAGGCCAGTGAGTCCTTGTCCCGTGGGGGCCCCTCCCGGGAGATGCAGAGGTGACAGGGCGGCTGTCAGGGCTGCGTCGCTGCAGGGAAGCCTCAAGCTCTTGCTTCGCTTCGCTGGAGACAAGCGTCTCAGGTTCTCTGTCTTCCACCCGCACCCCTTCCCGCTCCTGAGGACGCTGTGCTTCTGCCCCCGGAGGAGGCGATGGAGTAGGTCCAGCGAGGGTCCAAAGGTGGGCTGCTGTCCGCCAGGGGCCTGGTGGGACCACCTGCCTGCTCACTGTCTGCTTTCCCTTCCGGTGGTCCTGGCTGAAGGGAATCCCTCTGGAGGTGTATAGATGGACTCTGGATATGCTAAGCAAGGCGTTTTGCCCCAGGAATCTCTGCGGATCTCGCTGACCAGGCCCCTGAGTTTCCTGTTCCGTCCTCGATTCGCCTCTAAGGGGTCTGGGACTTAAAGAAATAAAGCAAACCTTCTCTGAAAGTCGCTGTTAGCTGGCCTCCCCTACCCCCAACTAACAGAAGAAGTCAGCCCCTGAAAACCCCTGAAATTTCTGTGCTCCTGCCCCCTGCCTGTGACTCTGTCCCTACCCAGGAGGGGCCCTGCTTGTGATTTGCTAACTCAGGCCTGAGAACCCACTGGGGGCCTGGCTGATGGCAGTGGAAGGTGACCTCCACTTGGACCCTCAGTTTGCTAAGTTCCTTTGTCTTCCGCCCACCCCGGCCCCCTCCACCTCCTTGGTCAGCAGGGAAGGCATTTGGGACCTTACCTCGTCAGTGGGTGCTCCGCCAATTGAGTCCTCACTTCCGTAGCCATTGTAGGGCCTCTAACAGAGTAAGGACCGGCGAATTTAATACTAGTGTTGAAGATGGATAACGGGAACTCTCGTTGACTGGTAGTAGGAGTGTAAACCGGAACAGACTCTAGGGGAAAAAATTGGCAATATCTTATAAAATTGAACATTTGCATGACGTATCACCCAGCAGTTCCTCTCCCAGAAATATACCCCAGAGAAACTCGTGCAGATGTGCAAAGGGGGCTGTGTGTAAGAATATTCAAACCAACATTGTTCAAATTAGCAAGAACCTGGTGACAATCTAAATGTCCAGTGGCAGAAGAATAGATAAATATGCTGTGGTCCATTCAGACGATTGAACGTTATATTGCAACGACAATGAACGAACCACAGCTACACGCAACAACATAGATGAATCTTCCAAATGTGATGCTAAGTCCAGGAAAGCAAGTTTGCAGGAGACCATATGGCCTGAGATGCTTTTTAAAGATAAAGTTCAGGGCTTCCCTGGTGGCACAGTGGTTGAGAGTCCGCCTGCCGATGCAGGGGACACAGGTTCGTGCCCCGGTCCGGGAGGATCCCGGAGTGATCCTCCATGCTGCGGAGTGGCTGGGCCCATAAGCCATGGCCGCTGAGCCTGCGCTCCGCAGCGGGAGAGGCCGTGGCAGTGAGAGGCCCGCGTACCGCAAAAAAATAATAAATAAATAAATAATAATAAAGATAAAGTTCAAAAGCAAGCAAAATTAGAGGACTTCCCTGGTGGCGCAGTGGTTAAGAATCCACCTTCCAATGCAGGGGACGCAGGTTTGACCCCTGTTCAGGGAACTAGATCCCACATGCATGCTGCAACTAAGAGAATGCATGCCAAAACTAAGGAGCCAGTGAACCGCAACTAAGGAGCCCACTGGCCTCAACTAAAGAGTACACGTGCTGCAACTAAGGAGCCGGCGAGCTAAAACTAAGGAGCCTGCCTGCTGCAACTAAGAGCCGGCACAACCAAAATTAAAAAAGAAAGAAAGAAAGAAAGAAACAAGAAGCAAGGAAAATTATCATAAACATGATAAAACAAGAAAAAAAAGCAATGAACGCTAAACACAAAATTCAGATAGAGGCTATTTCTGGGGGCAGGTGGGAAGAGGCGGGGAGGAGAGGAGCAAATATGATGTGTTGATGGTGGTATTCTAGTTCTTGGTTTGAGAAATGCATTTACTGGTGATGACATGAATGAAAGATAATAGGTGTTAAAGCCAAGAATTGTGATTAATCTAAATCTATGGATCTGTACGTATAGTGCTGGGGTTGCAGGTGCCAAGGATGGGGTTGAAGCAGGAAATCAGTGCATTCTGAGAATTAACCATCTGAGTCATAGAATCTGCAAGGGACCCCAGAGATCGCCCAGGGCCAGCCTTCCATCAGGTTAGGGTGGAGGGGAGCAGACAGCACTGCCTGAGATCGGGTAAGAGGAGAGACTTGGAGATCAAACAGCAAGGAGCCAGGCATCCTGACTCAAAAGTCTCCTGATCTTTGCCTACAGAGAAAACCAGCTGGCACGGCTTCCTTTGAAGGCAGTTTGGACATCCTTAATGATGGGGGCTAGGCTCGAGAGCACTTAGATGCTGCAGGGTTGAGGACAGGCCATTGGGATGCCCCATACCCACCTGCCTACAGGAAAAAGACTCGCTGGAGCAGAGACTTTTAAATACTTTTGACTGTGACCATAGTAAGAAACTCATTTTTACATCATAACCCAATTCACGCACACAAGTGTGCATGCATTTGTGTGTGTGTGTGAAACTGAAGCAGTTCTTACCCTTGTTATATATGATGCATACTGATAGTTTCATCCTATTTTTTGTTTTCATTTTGTCAGTGTTAGATGCAAACTATTAAATTGATTTTATAAGCCACTAATGGGTCATAGCCCACAGCTGCTGTGAAGAGGTCAACAGAGCCTCTAGCGGGCCAGGCCTGCCTTTTCCAGAGCAAGCCAGGCCGGGGCCCCACTGAATCTGACCCTGACCTTCCTTCCCTCTCTCCCTGGGCCCCCAGCTGGCCAGGCACAAGGGGCCTGATGACACCAATACAGAGACAGAACTTCCCTTTTCGCCTCTTGGCCCCTCTGGGTCCTCCCCCAGGCCCTGGGCTGTCTGGAGTGCCCATTTCCTGCCCTGTGGAGATCCCTGGACTCACGGAGGAAAGTGGCCGCTATAGCATGTGGGTGAGCAGCCCTTGCTGCCCCAGCAGGAAAGAGCAAAAGGACACGTCAATGGAAAGGCTCGTCAGTTCTGTGGGTAAGCCTGTCGCTTTGTGACTGCATGAGCCAGTGGTTGCTAGGTTACCTCTGCCCCACAACTCCAGAAGCCTGGCATCCCTCTCCTCACCCCCATCCAGCTCCTCTTACCCTTCCTGGAGGGTCAGGAAAGCTCGCTCGAGGACCTGCTTGCCCTCCCTCCAAGCTCCCTTTCTATCTCCCATTCAGCGCTTTCAATGGGGACCAAGGGAGAAAATGAGAATCAGGGGCTGGTTTCAGCCAGCGAGCATCAGGCAGAGAGAGAAAACCTGGCAAAAAAGTTCGGTTGGGCTGGGTGCCAGCTCTGTCAGCCTGACCGGGCTGTCTGCCACCACGGAGGGGGTCTGTCTCCATGCGTCCTATTTCTGGGGATTGATTGGCAGCGAGCTGTCTCTTAGATGGAGAGGAGGAGGCCGCCAACAGGATCCAAAGCGTCCCTGCAGCCCTACTCTAGGCAGGTTAGCTGGGTGGGAGGACCCTGGGCTTTCAGTCCGGCAGGGGTTTCCATGGGATTCTGACACTCCCTAGACGTGCCACCTTGAGTTAGTCGTCTGTACTGCCAGAGCTGTGGAACAGTGGTAAGAATACTTGGTTCCAATTCCAGCTCTACTTCCTAGCTATGAGGCCTCAGACAATTCACCTGATGTCTCCGAGCCTCAGTTCCTCTGTCTCTGAAACGGAGATGATACTTGCACTTGTTCTCACGGGAGCTTTGAGATTGCATGACGTAATGCACAGGAAGGTGTTTAGAATAGTGCTTGGCACCAAGTATGGTAACCTATGTTATTACTCTCTCTGAGCCAATACAGTGGGGTACCCTCACCTACTTCTCAGGTTGTCCTGAAGGACAAACAAACTAATAGAAGCGAAGCACCTAGTCGTATGCCAGGTGCACAAGAGATGCTCAAAAGTGGTAATAATCATCACTGTGATTGGTATCTTTTTTTTTTAATTGAAGTATAGATGATCTGTAATTGGTATCTTGGTGGAGGGGAGATGGAGGGGGATGGGATGAGTCCTGAGCCTGAGAACTACCACGGGCAGTTTACTTTGTTTCTCTGAGGCTCAACTTGGACCGCTGAAACAGGGGACCAGGATAATCCTTTGTCCACAGGGCTGACGTGAGATCAGAGGCTGTGAGGGGTGTCCACAGAGTCTGTAAACAGTGCAAGGGTTTGCAGACGATGCTTGGTGCCGTCCTAGGAGTGAGGCTGCTGGGCCTCTGAACGGATGGGGGTGGGCCTAGTCGAGGGTCTTCCTTCTCGGCACCCCTGGCTTCATATCAGTGGCCCGAGGCTTCTAGACTCTGTGTCCTCTGCTGGGGAGGAGGAGCAGGAAGGAGGATAGCTAGAGGCAAACCCAAGTTCTTCAAAAGTTCTGCCCCTCCGCACTGAGGGGTGGGGACACAAAGCACTGCAGTGCCCCATTCAGGGGGGCCCTCTGAGCTTGGCCTCGCCTCCAGTGCTTTTCCATCCACGCGGGTCAGAATGTTCTCCCTTCAGGCTCTGGCTTCTCCTGGGCTTGTCTCTGCAGGAATGAGGTGACCCCTTTGAAACCATTCTGAAAGCCCCGCTCTTGCATGCTTCTGGGAATCCTGATGGCTACGATGACAAATAAGACTGGATTTGAAAGGAGAGAGCGCTTTCTCCCCTCCTGCCAGCCCCGCTGTGCTGCTTTCAGCTCACCTGGGGGCTTTCCCACAGCTGACCTGACTCAGCTGAGAATAAAACCCACTCATCCTCCCCTTGCCCCTCTTACCCCTCCCATTGTGTTGTTTAAAACTGAACACCGGGCCTCCGTGCACATTGCTGCTTTGGGATTGAAGGAGGTACCGTATGGAATGTCCTCAACACTGGTTTATAAGGTTTATGAGAGAATTGAGAGGAGACCCTTCTGACTGCTCTTTACGGAGCGTCAAAAAGAGGAGAGAGATTCTGTCTGCCTGTAAATGGTTTGAAGTACAGTCCTCCTGCTGGGATGCGTCAGTTATAAGAGAAGCACTATAAAATTTTATGGAATACTTCTTATGTGCCAGGCACTGTGCTAATCCTTTTTTTTTTTTTTTTTTTTTTTTTTTGGTACGCGGGCCTCTCACTGTCGTGGCCTCTCCCGTTGCGGAGCACAGGCTCCGGACACGCAGGCTCAGCGGCCATGGCTCACGGGCCCAGCCGCTCCGCGGCATGTGGGATCTTCCCAGACCGGGGCACGAACCCGTGTCCCCTGCATTGGCAGGTGGACTCTCAACCACTGCGCCACCAGGGAAGCCCCAAAATGCAGTCTTTTGATGGAGAGAAATTTCTAATTTTAACTTAGCCCAGTTGATGAATTTTGTCCTTAGTGATGAATGGTGTTTGTGTCCTACTTAAGAGATCTTTGCCTACCCAAAGTTATGAAGATATTTTTCATATTATTTTCTAGAAAGTTTACTATCTTACTTTTCACATTTAGAGCTGTGATCAGTCTGGAATTGGTTTTTGTGTAAGGTGTAAGATAGGCGTCAAGAGCCGTATTTTTTCCCCTACAAATATCTATTTGACCAGCACCATTTTTAAAAACTGTCTTTGACTTGCTTCTCTCTGGTATCACCTTTATCAAAATTCAAGTGTCCATATACGTGTGGGTCTGTCTCTGGACTCGTTCTTTTCGAGCGCACTATGGGTCTAGCATTCTGCCAATACTACACTCTCTTAGTAACTGTAGTTTTAAATACATCTTGGTATCTAGTGGTATAAAACTTCATTGGAGAAAACTATTTTTTTTCTCCATTCTGACACCAGATGTATGGGGTTTTTCCCACACCGAGCATTTCCCCATTTCAGCAGGAACCAACTGGGTGTCCTACAAGTTTAACTTAATTCTGACACTGTCTGCCTGAAGACGGCATCAGACCCCACAGGTTAAGGGCCCAGTCCCACAAGGCTGCCCCCATTTCAGACACTGAAACTGAGAGTCCCGCTAAAACTAAGTTCCCTTACTGAGTTGATGATTAATCTCTCAATCCAAAACTTTATTCCCTTTCTTGTTCCCTCTGACCTCAATCCTGTGCTAACTGAACACTCATCGACCAGGGTCAGATGACTAAAATTGCTGTTGTTGATAACATGATAACATCGTTAATGTACTCAGGTTGCTACTATAGATATCATCATTAACGAACAAACCCAGATTGTTTCTCCAGGGCAAGGTGAGATAACAGGCCCTTGAGCCATGGACCACCTGGCCAGAGAATCCAAAACCAGAGACATCGTGAGCCCCGGAACCTGAATGTCACAGAAACGTCACCCGATGATGATTAATCCCAGCCTCTTTGTTCTTACCCTTCAAAACATCCCTCACTCAAAGACCAAATGGAGTGGACATGAGACTTGTCTCCCACTCCCTTCCTGGGCGTGATGCAATAAAACCCTTACTTTGCTGCCAACACCCGCTGTCAGAATTTGGCTTTCTGTGGCCGCAGGCACATGAGCCCTTGTTGGTAACAACACCAGTCGCAAGTCCAAGTTGTCATCTGTATTTTTTTTTTTAACATCTTTATTGGGGTATAATTGCTTTACAATGGTGTGTTAGTTTCTGCTTTATAGAGTGAATCAGTTATTCATATACATATGTTCCCACACCTCTTCTCTCTTCCGTCTCCCTCCCTCCCACCCTCCCTATCCCACCCCTCCAGGCGGTCACAAAGCACCGAGCTGATATCCCTGTGCTATGCGGCTGCTTCCCACTAGCTATCCACCTTACGTTTGGTAGTGTATATATGTCTATGCCTCTCTCTCGCTTTGTGTCATCTGTATTTCTGACTGACCAGTGTTAAATTAGGATTCTCACGATCCCCTCCTCAGGTTTGAAAGTTTGCTACAATGGCTCACAAAGCTCAGGTAAATAGTTACCTATGTTTACAGTTTATTGTGAAGGGTTATTATAAAGGATACAGATGAACAGCCAGATGGAGAGGTACCTAGGGCAAGATCTCGTGTACAGGAGCATCTGTCCCTTTGGAACTGGGGTGTGCCACTCCCAACATGTGGACCTCTCACCAACCTGGAAGCTCTTCAAACACCATCCTTCTGGGGTTTTATGGAGGCTTCAATAGGTAAGGGTGATTGATTAAATCATTGGCCATTGGTGATAGAGTCCACCACCAGCCCCAGGTCAGGGGGTTAGGGCTGAAAGGTTCCCCTGGCAACCAAATATTACCTCAGTAACAGAAAGTCAGGTGTGTGATTGAAAGAGCCAGTTATGAATAACAAAAGACACCTTTAGCTGTCTCATCCCTTAGGAAATTCCAAGGGTTTTAGGAGCTAGGAATGCAGATGAAGACTAAATGGATACATATTTCTTATGCTAATTCACAATATTGCAGATTTCCAGCTTTGTTTTTTAAGGTTGTCCTTACTCTTCTAGTTCCTTTGCCTTTCCATACAAATTTTAGAATAATTTATCTGCATCTACAAAAATTTTTGATGGGATTTTGTTTTTTTTTAACTGATTTATTTTTCCTACCAGTTTTTTTGAGATATGATTGACATACAGCACAGTACAAGTTTAAGGTGTACAACATAATGATTTGATATACATACATCATGAAATGATTATCACAATAAGTTTAGTGAACATCCATCATCTCATATAGATACAAAATATAAGAAATAGAAAAAACATATTTTTTCCTTGTGATGAGAACCCTTAGGATTTACTTTCTTAACAATTTTCATATATAACATACAGCAGCGTGTATTATATTTATCATGTTGTACCATACATCCCTATTACTTATTATCCTGGTATTATTTCCCATCAATGTACAGGAGAAAATCCTGTGATCACATGCCCTTTATCTCACCTGTTGTCTCTTCTGCTTCATACATGAGATTCTGGATTGTGGCCAGTATCACTGGGTGCTTTGATGAGAGCTGGCTGCTCTGAAAGTTGAGTCTCTGCCAGGCTCTTGGGGTTTACCTGCCATGGCATTGCCTGTGCCTCTGTTGTCCTGAAGTCTGTGTGACTAGCCTTCTGATGATCTTTTAGAGAATAAAGGAGGAAAGAAAGAGGCGTGACTAACGACCCCACATGGCTCCTCCACCTCTCCTGTCTCCCCTAGAATGGTCAGTTACCTGGTAACGTGTCATCTGAACAGGACTCACAGCTCTGGAGCTGGCAGCTATAGACTGGTCTAAGTCAGCACTCAGGAAGGTTACCCAACGTGGAAGAGCAGGCATCAGAGAAGAGAGAATAAGTCTGAGCTCTCCAGAAAGATCCAAGATCATGGAACCAGACAAGTTTCCTACATTCATCCCTTTTCGACTTACATGTCCCTTCTTTGACTCCCATCCCAAGTTCTCCCCTCATACTCTCTTTGAATACCCAATAATTCTTACAATCTCATGTATCTCTTCTGCAAGCCGGTCAGCTCCAAGAGGTTAGAGGCCACATCTATCTTGTTTATCACCAAGCATAGGGCCTTGTTCTGCATGGTGGTTACATGGGTATATTTGTTTTGTACTAATTCATCAAACTCCTGGTGCAATGCCTCATGCCCAATAAATATTCATTGAATGAATGAATAGATGAAACAGAGTCTAAGGTAGTTATTCTTCGTATTCACCCCTTATATGCCTGAGTCCTCGCCTCAGAAGTCCTACCCACTGTATGCTAGTATTTGTCAACAAAACAGCTCTAGTGACAGGGAGCTCTCTACTGCCCAAGGTTGCCTGTTCATTTTCTGTGTAGTCCTGTTGGCTAGAAAGTTCTTCTTAATACTGAACTAAAATATATCTCTGTGAAGCTTCCAGTCAATATTCTTGATTCATTCTTATGGTCACATAAATCAGGCCTCGGCCCTCTTTGTGATGACAACTCTGTAAGAGCCCATGGCACGTTATGCGACTCTAAGTAATTCCACATGACTAGGGAAACCAGAAATCCCAGATGGCGCAACACAGCCCAGGTTATTATGCCTGCAGTCCCAGAAAACTTATTAGTTACGTCCTCAGTCTCAAAAGTGTCCCAGATTGGATGATTAATTACATAGCTACTCTAACGATGCCTGGGGTATAAAGTCTGAGGGTGAGGTAGAGATGGGGGAGATGAAGGTAGAGAGAGGCAGGGGCTGATCATAAGGGGCCTTGTGGACCAAGTTCAAGAAGAACATTCAATTAACTGGGCCTTGTGTGGTACCTTCCCTTGGAGGGCATCCTCTCCAGATATGATCTAGTTCACAGGCAGATCCGTACATCCATTGGTAGATGGTTATTGCTACGGATTGTCATTTATGGAAGACATCAGGTAAGTGCTTTCCAAACAGCCTGGGGTGTGGCCCGGGCAATCTCTGCTGACCCTGGTTCATGTATTTTCTGTAACTGATTCTCTGCCACTAAGGCTTGGTTTTGACTTGTTTTTATAGTTGTGAGGTTGTTTCCAGAGACAACATTGAGCAATCCCCTCAGGACCTTTTGCTGTCAACCAGAGACTTTGTAAGACTTCCCCGGGGGGGATGTAGCCAGGATCAGAAGCAGGCCTATAGCGATAAACGACTTGCTTTAAAGGACTGAAATGATTTGTATATTGGAGGGACTGGTAAGGATATTTGACCAAAACGAGTTTTTAATTGAGTCTAAGATGATGCAGATGCATCTAACTCTAACAAGGCAGTGTTGAGTTAGATGTTTGACTGGGCAGCCAGTGGAAATGGTTTAAACATTTGGAGTACATGAATTACATGAGAAGTGGATAGCAAGAGTGGGTATTTGAAATGTCTGAATGGGTGGATTCCTTTGCAGTGCCCCCTGCAATACCTGTCCCTAAGCGGCAGGTGTTTCTTTGCACCCCAAAACTGAGTGTAGCAGGCCCCTCAAGCACATCCACAAGGACGAGCTTCAGGCTGCTTTTGCCCACCATGAAGCCAGTCAGCGGTGGACCCCAGGGCTTCTGGAGGCTTCCCGACCCCAGTCACTGCTCCAACAGTTGGACGCTCAGAGGGCATGTAAGGCAACTAGGAGTGGTCGTGTCACCCTGCCCTTCCCATTCCTCCTTTGTCAACCTATCGAAGTGTGGGGCTAGTTTGAGAATCTAGGTGTATTAATTT